TACAGCAGCAGCAAAAGCAGCAACAGCAGAAGCAGCAACACGAAAGAACAATTAAAACATTTAACGCATTGCCGTCCCCAGGCTGCAGCAGCAGCAGCTCTTGCTGCTGCTGCTGCTGCTGCTGCTGCTGCAGCTGCAGCTGCTGCAGCAGCAACTCGTGCTACAGTTTAGTCTAATGTGGGGTGTACGTACACCTCAACAACCATTAACATCAGCAGCAGCCTGTAGAGCACTGCAGCAGTTGCTGCTGCTCCTGCAGCTGCAGCAGCAGCAGCTGTTGCTGCTACCACCGGTGCAGCAGCAGCAGCAGCAGCAGCAGCAGTTGCTGCTGCTGCTGCTGCTGCTGCTGCAGGATTTATTATTCTTTAACAGCAACGAGATGCATGTAAGGATAGTTTCTGAGTTTGTGTTGGGCGGCTTGGAGTGTCTGCCGCTGCAGCAGCAGCAGCAGATTGCTGCCGTGCTGCTGCAGCAGCTGCTGCTGCGTCCCCCCCACATACAGCCGAAGGTCCTGCAGCAGCAGCACGCGGAGACCGCTCCCCTTTAGCTGCTGCAGCAGCTTGTTTGCATGCTGCTGCTGCTGTGATCGCAGCAGCAGCAGCTGCTGCTGCAGCTGCTGCTCAACCCCGTGTCTCCCACCCCAGCCTTGCTGCTGCTGCTGCTGCTGCCGCTGCTGCTGTTGTTGCTGCTGCTGCTGCAGCAGCAGCAGCTGCTGCAGCTGCAGCAAGTCCGCAGCAGGATACGCTGTTCCCGTCAGCTCCTCCATACGATCCAGCAGCAGCAGCAACCCCCCGGGCCGCAGCAGCGCAGCAACAGAAGCAAAAAAAGAAGAGCGAGATAAAGATGAAGGCAGCACCTCAACAGACACAGCAACGTCAAACAAATCTGCTGCTGCTGCTGCTGCTGCTGCTGTTGCTGCTGCTGCTGCTGTTGCTGCTGTTGCTGGTGATGGTTTGGTTCCTGCGGCCGTTGAACCGGCGCCGCAAGCTGTCGTTGGTGCTGCCCCTTGCTGCTGCTGCTGCTGCTGCTGCTGCTGCTGCTGCAGCCGACGCAGCTGCTGCTGCAGC